CTTAAAAGCTCTGAATTCAGTCAATATTTCTAGTCAAAACTTTCTCTTGCTGCTTTTTTTGTTGTAGGTTTTTCAGTTTATGCCAACATAACTGGTTCCAAATATTAAGGTAAATGATTCAAACTCAACAGCCTGTTTTGAAACATGGAAGTAGTTCAGGAGAAGAAACTGCTGTGTTGATGATTTGTGGAGCAAACTATAAAGACTCTGTATCAAAAATCAAAGTTGCAGTTTTTTTATATAATCTAAAATAGGGACACCAAAAAATCTGAATGATTATTTGGTATATTGTGAAAATCTAACAAAAGAAAATCTGCTCATTGGGGCAAAAAAGAGAAGATAATCGATTAAAAGATTTTTGTAAAGCAGGTTCAAAATTTGATAAACTAACTCCAAACCAGCTGCATTGAGGATCTTTAGCCTCCATTGGGGAAGACTTCCACAGTATATGTCCTCCTTAAAAGGTAATTCTACTTTTTATAATGAATCTTGACATCACTGTACATCTTCTACACTTTTTAAAAAAAATATCTTTTCCTAAAATGAACACAGGTCTTCAAACATATTTCATTGAAAAGGTGCCGGGTCTCTTTGTGACAAAACTAGTGTTTGCGAGCTTCCATGAAGAATGTCTCTCCTTGGTTCCATGGATGAGACAAAAACAATCCCCAGGGAACGTCCATCTTTCAGTGAAAGTAGGTTTGGTCATTAGGGTCGTCTTTTTACTGGGTTTTGTCGTTTACCTTTAGCTGTAATTGTGTTTTTTATTCCATCTGAGACCTTTTCACCATCACTGGAGTGTAGATTTAATAATATCCAACATCGAATTTCATTTATTCATTTGCTGGTATAATGGACACGAATTACTCAAACTAGAAAACACTAGTTATGAAAAGGTTTGACATTCTTTGATTAAGAAATCGATGTTGTCTCAAGACTACAGCTCAAACAGCCCTTTCAGGTATAACGGCTGAGTGAGATGCTGAGTGTAAAACGTATTCCTCACCCAGCTGAGTAATGTTATTCCAGCCACACAGATCTCAGCAGAATCCCTCACTGTAGGGGATTATTCTCACAAACAACCCACCCTAAACACTTTTCTTTTATGTTTTACCTGGACTTTGTCATGCAGCTCCCGAATGCTCCCATCTTTGCTTGACACAGAGAACTCGGGGCTCTGCAGGATGGCCTCACCACGGGTCATGTAGCTGTGGACCTCTGTGAAGTCCACGTCAAACCTGATGAGGTCAGAGAGAACAGATGTTCAATTAGCTGTGAATGCTGCTTTAATTGGTGCGGAGCAAAGAACTGCCTGAAGG